TTCCTTTCCTTATACTTTAAGATAAATGACGCACTACTTTGGAAATGGCATTTGCCTATTTTATTATGATGCTATAAAGTTTAAAGCGTCAGTATCCCTAAAATATGATAGCTGTTAAGCTCTCTTTAATTATTCGGAAATGAATAGTATGTGACAAGATATTATGGTTAATTTGGTGGATCAGATGAATAAAATGTGCTGAAATATTTTGGAGACTGAAAGTATAAAATTAGATGCAAAAAAATACAGGTTTTTTATCCAGGTCTAATCATGTTGAAATATTTTATTAATATCCTCAGAGAGTACGTAAATTAGTGAGTTTTTTTTTAATGCAACGGTAAATACCTAGAAACCATGTATACACTTAAAGTAAAATTTCACAGAGTTCTGAGGGCCATTTTGCATTTACTAGTGCCACAGTAGTGGCATTAGAGTGAGCTGCAGTAACCTGAAACAGTACAGCATGGATGCTCTAATAAATCGCGTGTCTGTTATTATGGAATTTTATAACTGTTCATACCTTTTATTTAATGCATTCACAGGTCAGATTATAGGATATTTTTCGTTTAGTAAGTATACTAAATCCATACCTTATACCATTGAGTTTTGGTAGTACCAGAGGGAAAAAAGAAGAAAAGCATGGCCTCTATCTTTAAGGAACTGTTTAACAGTCATATGAATCACTTGATTGAGAAGATCCATATTTGTAATATAATGAATTCCACAAAAATTGCCTGTTAAAAATTTTTGAAAAAGTGGGGGTGAGATTGAATATACCTAAGCTTTATTGTTGATTTTTGTTGGCCAGGCCAAATTTGTGAACATTTTACATTATCAGCTGTACTGAAATACATTTGTATGCTCTACTGAATATAGGAAACATAATTTAATATTTAATTTAAACTCCAGATTACCATCATTTATAGGCATTCTATGCATTAAACTGTTTTGCCTCTACTTTCTTCCTCAGTAACACTTTTAGGACATTTTGATGCATTGGAAAGAAAAGGCAGTTGCAAGCTGCTGGCTCTAGCAAATCAGAGCTAATGAACTTGAGGATAATGTTTGCACTTTCCCACTTCCAAGTCTTTGATCAAACTGCTCTCTGCCTTTGCTACCACTACCACAGGTTGGTCCTTTCCCCCTAATCTAAACTGTCTCTGACTAGCCCTGAGTTTACTTTTTATAGCTGTCACTGTCTACCATCTCCTTCATCTTGAATATACCAGGACAGACTGGGACGTTCCAGAAAAAAACAGACATAATACTTAAGTCGTCTTTGCTACCTAATTTGTCCTCACTGCCAATTAGTTAATTTATTTTTTACTTTTTGTTTTATTGAATTTTGTAAAGACAGGGTCTTGCTGTGTCACACAGGCTCCTCTCAAACTCCTGGACTCAAGTAATCCTCCCACCTCAGCCTCTCAAAGTACTAGGATTAGAAGGCGTGAGCCACTGCGACTGATCATAATTTAAATAATCCTTTAGATTCCTGTCTCTGTCCATTTTCAAAGCCAGGGTTACGCTATCATAACATACCCCATGATGCACACCATTGCTAAAACAATCTTCCTGAAGTACTAATTAGATTTTTGAGCAGAGAATAAAACCATCCTTTCCAGCGTTGGCAAATACTCAATGTACTGTTCTGAAATACCTGTAGTACTTCCAAGTTTCTGCTTTGTGCTCACACTGTTTTCTTTGACCTGAAATGCAATTTCTATCTATAAAAATCTTAGTCATTATGAGGTCTAGCAAAGATCTTTTTCTTCTATGAAGCCTTCCTATCGACCCTAACTAAAATATCTTCTCTGAGTTCCCAGCTTATAAGCTGGAGCAAGACTTCAGTGATCCTTGGAAGAAAGTGGGAGGTTATTTTCCCAATGAGATTCCAGGAAAGTTTAATGTCTTATAGTTCAGTCCCCTTTAGTGTTCCACATACAGTTAGTGCTCAAATATTTGATAATTGACCTACTCACAAATTTTTTTGTGCGAAATTGCTAGCTATTCTCTATCCAAGAAGTAATGAAGTGTATAAGCTTCTTCAACTCTTTGTTGAGCCCAGGTCTCTTACTTATTTCTCTATCCTATCTACTCTTGAGTAGTAGGGTCATCGGAAAGCAACCACTGGCTTTGGGGATAAGTTGTGTGTATTTTGGAGGAGGAAGTAAAGGTGTTACTGGACTTTTAAAACAAGCTTTTTCTGTTTTAAAGTATTTTGCTTCCCGTTAGTATATTTATAAGATGATATTGGTATATGTAGTGTCTTGGCTATTTATTCCCCTTTCTCTTTAACACAATATTCTCGAACTTTGGTGTGATACTGAATTAGAATCTCTAGGAGTGTGGCCTAAGACTCTACACTTTTACTAAGAATCAGTTGAGATGCTTATGAAGGTGGTGGTAGTAGTGATAATGGTAGTGATGATGATGATGATAATTGTAATAGCTGTGCTTTTGAAGGCTTATGATGTACTTACTGCACTTTTCTAGGCAGTTTGCAGCTATTAACCTAATGTTCACAGCAAGCCTATGTAGTAATATGCTATTATCTTCATTATACAAATGGAGAAACTGAGGCAGATATAAATTAAGTAAGTTGTCACCAAAACAACTTTCTTATAAATACGTCAAGAATTCATGAAAAGGATGAGGCATATTTTTTTGGTTGATAGTTTTTAAACTCACTTTCTAAAGGATTGCTTTAAGTAATGTGAATAATATGAATGTAAACTGGTTCTTACATAAGTTGAAATAGCAATATGCCAACTCTATATAGAATAACAACTAGACCTAAATATAGATACTTGCTCTTGCTTTTAGGAAACCTGTCACAATTCTTGGTGAAAAAGTAGGCATGCACCCAAAAACTTAGAACATTGAGGAAACTTTTTAAATAATTACACTTTCTAAAATACATGATATTTTCTATATATATATATAGTCATCCCTCAGTATCCTCAGGTGGTTGGTGCCGGGACACCCTCAGATACCAAAATCCAAATACTGTGCCATAGTATTTGCATATAACCTATGCATATCCTCTCATGTACTTTATTTATTTATTTATTTATTGAGACATGGTCTTGCTCTGTCATGCAGTCTTGAGTGCGTGCGCTGGTACAATCATGGCTCACTGCAGCCTTGACCTCCTGGGCTCAATCCTCCCACTTCAGCCTCCCAAGTAGCTGGGACCACAGGCACGCACCACCATGCCCAGCTAACTTTTGAACTTTTTTGTACAGGTAGAGTTTCATTGTGTCGCCCAGGCTAGTCTTAAACTCCTGGGCTCAAGCGATCTTCCCACCTTGGCCTCTCAAAGTGTTGGGATTACAGGCGTGAGCCACTGCACCCACCCATCCTCTTGTGTACGTTAAATCATCTCTAGCTTACTTGTAATAACTGATATAATATAAATGCTATGTAAATCGCTGTTATATTGATTTTTATTTGTATTATTTTTTGTTGTGTTGTTTTTTAAATTTTTTCTGAATATTTGTGTGTGTATTGAGATGTTACTTTGTGATCTAATGTAATTCAAGTAAAACTCATTAAGCATATATTGTCTGTTTTAGTAGCATAATTCTTGGTTTTATATGCTAAAATATTTATCTTTTTAATAATAAATGATAAGAATATTTTATACCCTTTTAGTTCATAGACTATGGGAAGTGGAGTAGGTAGTGAAAGAGGTGACTGTGGTGGTAGTATGGTGGAAGTAATTTGTTTAACATCACTGCCTGTCCAAAATAGTTTTGATGAATGATTTTAGGTGTTGCCTAGTAAGTGCTTTGACTTTTGAAACCAGTTGAACAAACAAGCATGTTGTGCTTTACTAGAAACATCTTGTAAGTTCTGATTCTGAATAGACAATGGAATCTAAATTGAGTTAGTGGAGGACATATCTTTACAACTAAATCTAAAGTGTTTCAACTATTTCTTTTTTTAATCTCCTGTTTATTTTTCTTGTAAAATTAATATTTTTGATTGACCAATCATAATTGCATACATTCATGGGGTACACTGTGATGTTTTGATATATGTATACAATGTGATGTGCTTATGCTAATTAACATATCTGTCACCTCACCTGTAATATTTTATAGTGAGACATTTGAAATTTACTTTATTATTTTGAAATAATACATTATTATTGACTCTTGTCAACTTGCTACGCAATAGATCTCAAACTTATTCTTCCTCTCTATCTGAGACTTTGTACCCCCTGATCAACTTCCCCCACCACCCTCCTACCCTAGCCTCTGGTAACCATTGTTCTATTCTCTACCGAATTCTATGAATTTAGCCTTATTAGATTCCACACATAAGTGAGATCATACGGTATTTGTCTTTCTCTGCCTGACTTATTTCATTTAGCATAATATCCTCCAGATTCATCCATGTTGTTGCAAATGACAGAATTTTCCCCTTTTTAAATGCTGAATAGTATTCTGTTGTGTTTATGTACCCTGTTTTCTTGATTTCATCCATCGATACACACCTAGGTGTTTCCATATCCTGGCTCTTGTAAATAATGCAACAATGAACATAGGAGTGCAGATATCGCTTTGACATATTGACGCCAGTTCCTTTGGATATATAACCAGAATTGGGATCACTGGATCATACAGCAGTTCTATTTTTAGTTTTTTGGGGGAAACCTCCATACTATTTTCCATAATGGCTGAACTAATTTGCATTCCCACCAACAATGTACTTGTAAGAGTTATCTTTTCTCCACACCCTGTCCAACATTTACCTTTCATCTTTTTAATAAAAGCTACTGTAACAGGTGTAAAGTAATATTGCATTGTGGTTTTAATTTGTAATTCTCTAGTAATTAGTGATGCTGAGCATTTTTTCTTGCACCAGTTGGCTACTCATGTGTCTTCTGAGAAATGTCTGTTCAGGTTCTTTGCTCATTTTTAAAAATTGGGCGATTTGTTATTTTGTTATTGAGTTGTTTGAGTTACTTAAATATTTTAGATATTAACCCCTTGTTAAATGTATGATTTGCAGATATTTCTTTTTATATATCCTGTTTACAAATTTTCTGAACTTCTCTTGCTGCTCATTTATATAAAGTTGGGATGAGTTATGTCACCTGAAGCAGTCAAGATAAGACTGTTTCTACTGCTATCCATGTGGCAGGCTTACTTTGTTACCCAATCCAGTGAAAAAGGGTGCCAGGATGTGAAAGAAAAATAGATGTGATGCCATGGAACATTCTAGGGAATTATCTTTTTTAGAGAGAATTTTGATTAAAATTTTGCGTATTTTTAAAACTCATATTCTTAGTCTGAAGAGTTGGATATAACGCTGAGTGTGTGTCTTAAAGCTAATAGTATAAAAAGAGAAGTATAAAATTTAAATTAATCATACAACTTTCTTTCCCTAACTTTATGAATTGATTTTTTGCAATTTCTGGAGCTAACATGCTGAATGTTTGAAACTGAGTATGTAGGTTAAAAAGTTGAAATTTTCCTAATAAAATTATATCTCTTTCTAAGGTATAACTGTTTCTTTCTTTGATTGTAGTAAAAGGAGCATCTGTGGTTCTTCAGAGGTTTTAATTTTGCTGCCAGCTAGTTGTGTGACTTTGAGTAAATAATGTCACGTGACTGGACCTGTTTCTTTATTTGTAAAATTGTGTGTGGTGTTAAATTCCAAGACTGTTTTTAAAAAATTTTTTGTAGAGACTGGGTCTTGCTTTGTTGCCAAGGCTTGTCTGAACTCCTGGTTTCAAGCAGTTTTCCCCACTTTGATCTCACAAACTGTTGGGATTATAGGCATAAGCCTCCATGCCTGACCAAATTGTAAAACTCTTATAATGGATGAGTAGAATATAGTTAAGATTATATAAAAACACAAGTCACTTCATGATCATCATCTGCTGGAATATGAAACCAGCTTTCTTGTGTAGATATGTTATCAGCAATGTTATTCACACCAAGAGGATCATTCTGTGGTTTTTAATTCATGATTTTGTAATCTGATAGTGACTTTTCATTATGTCTCCTGATTTAAAATTAAATTACAGCCATTATGATTGGAATCATTGGGAAGAGTTGAAATAAACAATTTAGAATTGTTTCTGCAATACTGAAGGCCTGATTTTGGGGGGTGTGGGGCTGATGGAGGAGATATCTCTATGTTCTGTAATTTCATTTGACTAAGGAATTTACCTTTGGTCTTCTTCCAGAGTGAGGACATGAATACTTCCATAGCTGTATTCCGTATTAATCACAGTTTGCTTTGTGGGTTTCATTAGGCTAAATAAGAAAAACGTAGTTATATATTTTCTGCTTTAAAAATGCTTCTTGTTATAAAGTCTTCTCAGATCAGTTCCACATGTGATAAACCTATTCAAACTATTAAACTGCCCCAATATGCTTGCTTCTTTCTTGGAAATCTATCCATTTCTGTGTCTTTATGTACCACTCACTCTCCCCCATCATGTTTTAGGTTATAAGCTCCTTTCCTTTGTATCTCATAGCACCCAGGAAAGAACTTTGTTAGTCTCTGAATAGTTTACAAATGTTATTGCTATTGAGAATTTTGGATTTAAATTATTGGAGTGAATAGACTAATGCTGTTTCTAGTATATCTAACTGGGGGGTCGGTGTTATTAACTCAAAGACACAACAGTTTAAGCTCTAGGCTTTGTTTCTGAAGTCCATTTTTCTTAATCATAAGCTGATTATTCACTTTATATTATCTTATATAATGCCTTGGTATCAGGTTATTGATAGGTAAACATCAGGAATAGGTTGGATAGATACGCATGCGTGTGTACACATGCACATGTATGTGAAAGAGAGAGAGAAGGATTACACATAGAATATATGAGAATTTGAGATGTGTGTAATGTTTATAACTCAACTGAGTCTTACATAGCTGTCTAGTTATGTACACTTAATTTTGGATCTTTTATAGTTAAAATTCAGAAACAATTTTTAAGGAAGATAAGGACATGTTTTTCTTTCCTTCGTGTTTTCAGTTTAGCTTTATTTGATTGTATTTTTGCTAAAGACTTGAATTGTCAATAATAGCTATTGAAATGAGCCAACTTATAGCTGAGCACAAATTATGTTAGGGCACTGAGATATATCTTAACATTTGGGAATAATTTAATGTGTCTAATATTTAAGAACGATCAAAACAGACTGTACAACCCAATAATCATAAAGCCTATGGTCGAAAATCATATATAATTGACAGGCCCTATGAAGAGCAGCCGTAAGAATCAAGAGAAAAAGAGTCTAAATTGGAACAGAAAAGGAGCTGAGTCATTTTTGTACTATAATTAGAAGTTGGTAACCATAAATTTTGTCAAAAAGTATCATGATCAGGCAGGGTTACACTAAAGTGTAACCTCTAACTTCTTGTAGTATATAGTTTTACAATTAGTTGATGATTTAATAAATATAAATATAGATGATACTGTCAGAGTGTTTCCAGACATTACAGTTAGCTTTTAGGTGAAGGCAGTGCTTGACAGAACCTAGGTTTGTGACTCCATAATTTATTATGTCATCTAATACCATCTTTATCATGTATTAATTTGGGTTATAGGATAATTGGGGTAACTTTTTGGTGAGAGATTGAGATTTTCTTAAAAGCATTTTCAGAAGATACTAGAATTTTATGGGATTCTTTTAATATAGCATGTCTTCTCAAATATAATATTAGGACTGTTTGAACAGGAGGTAAATCATGTTCACTTTATTTTCCAGTTTAGAATTATTGCTGTTATCAGTTGGTGGGTGTGGGAACAACTTAATAAAGTTTGGGTAATTTAGTTTTCAGTTTAAATTCTCAACTGGCAATTGGCCGAAAACTCCCATCTGAAGACATGATCATCCAAATGTCATTTTGTGATTTGGCTACTGTCTGCTTGATATAGGAAAGCACTATCAAGAAAGACTATTGGAGTGACTATCAAAAGGAAGTCAATGGTAAGAGTTTTCATTTAAATTCTGTGTGTGTGTGTGTGTGTGTCTGTGTGTAAAGCCTACCAATTTATTATATTTGAATTAAAATTTTAGAACTTTTAAAATCTAGGACATAATGACAAGTGTTTGAATTTTATATGTCTGTCACTTATATTTTAATAAAATATATGCAAAGAATGGTTTTATAGATAAGAGATTTTACATACTTAATGTTTATAAATAGTATAAAAGTATGGAAAACCAATTATATAGTTCATGTGTGGTTTAAAAATTCAATTTTTGTAGTTTTATTGTAGTTATTTAAGATAGTGTATTACAAATATTGCTTTACTAAAGTTTAACTTTTAAAAAATTTATACTAAACTGAGTTTTTCTGTTCAGTTTCATAAGTGCTTCTTAAAGTAGACAAGTTGTGCAGTAGTATGTTGAATGCTGTTTTGTTTTTTACTTTCATTGTAAAATAGGAAAGAAAAAAGTATAATATATGACAAAATCCATTTAGTTTAACAGTAATTCTTTAAAAGTGTGTAATTGCTGCTATACTTTGGTGGAAACTATTGAATTTGTAAGATTAGACGTTTATACTGTATACCCAAAACAAAGTGGAGTAGCTGTTCATAATATGGTACAGAATCAAATTTTGGTGATAAAATCAGACATCTCTCTCCTGCCTTACACATACTCCCACTGAGAAAATAATTTCTAAATTTGGTTACTTTTTCATATGCTTCAAATGACCTTAAATTTATATTTTTCTCCTGAATATATTTGATTCCTGCATATCCCTTTTTTTGGACGTCTGTGTCCAATCAGATCCGTGATTAGTCACGTTAACTTTGGACAAGAATGGAGGTAGGATCTTAGCAAGTTTGAAATCTTTAAGATTGTTGTCTGAGATTATTCCAGTGTGTCCATGGACATAGTAGTTTTGTGATAACAAGATGATGGCTGATGAAGATTAGCATATTAATAATATATTATAATTCTATTAACCATTCTATTGTCAAATGTGTGATTTTTGCGATTCACATAGTTGGAGTAATTTTTCATGCCCAATTAGAGATGTCAAAATTATGTTAATTGAATCTGGCCATGTTCTTAGCTGCTTTTTAGAGCTTAATAACAAACATATCAGGAAGAGCTCTTGTGACAAGCACCCAGCACAGCATCTGTCATTATGTAATCATTCCAATGTTTACAGTGAACTAAGTACTTGAGATGGCAACATTCATATTTTAGTCCATCTGTCTAGTAATTCATATTTGTATAGTCTGTCTACTATGTGTCATCCATTTAGGTAGATGCTGAGAATAAAATGGTGGGGTTAAAAACAGATATTCCCTAATTGTTACTGAACTTCCGGTGCCAATGGTAATTACAGTGTAGGTATAATTACACACCGCAACTGGAACCAATACTGTGAAATGGCATAAGTTTCTACAAGGGTAGGAACAATAAAGTTAGTGTATAAATAAAGCATAGAACCTACACATTTATTTATTAGAGTGAATTGATAACTTGCTTTTCAACTTTTAAAGTTAATTCTATTAATATCTGCTAAGCTAGGCATTAGAAAGACTAAATTCTAACCATAGAGAAATACATTTTTATGCTGCTATTCTATTTTCTTAGATTTCTTAAGAATTTACAACAAAGCCCTGTCAAAGCAGCATGCTTATGTGAGAATTTCACTTATGGGAGTGTTCTTATACGATTTCAAGAAGGAGTGCCCTGAAGAGGGACACTGATTTCCTCAACTGAACTTAAAATTGTTACATGCAGACATTTTTTAAAGGTAGTATACTTTTTTCCTTAATCAAGTCAACTTTATCTCTTTTTTAAAGAAGGGAATGTAACATTTATGTTTTTCATATACACACACGCAGAAGCATACATGTCGATTACGTTTTGGAAAATAAAATCCAAAGAGCATTTGGATATCTGAATGTTTACGCTTCATCTCTGCAGTGACTTACAAATTTAGCTTTTTTCTGGATATACTCAAAGTCACCAACCTGAGTTCAAGTATTCTGATTTGAAGGTCTCCACTTAGAGAACTAGGCAGTCCCCCTTGTCAGTGCTAGGAGAAAGATGTCCTTCCCATACCTTCCAGAGTGTCTTGAAGAAATACTCCTTCCTGGGTAACGTGCCTCGGAATGTACGTGATACTCATTTTTCTTTGACAGCTCTTTTTGGTTCTGTTTAAGTGGCTTTGATGGGCTTACGATGCCCAGTGAAGAATTTGGTATTTAGCCCCAAAAAGATATTTAAAACACATAATTATGTAAATATTGCAGATGGAGGATGATACATAGCATTTCTTTTATTGCAATGAATTTGAAATAACTTCTTTCTAAAACAAAATTCTACCAATAGTCGTCAGTTTTTAACTATATAACTTCTCAATATAGGAAACAATCAATGTCTGATTGGCTGTGTATGTCAAAACAAAAGTATAATGCCTTTTGTTTTGAATTTGGGAGTTTCTACTGTCAGAAGAAAGGAGATGTGAATTACAATGGTGTTAGAAGAAATGAATTGGAAGTTTGAATGAGAAAAATTTAAATAAAAGTTACCGTTTAAAGATATGGAAAGGAAAATAATGTTTTAGTTCAATATGAGAAAGAACCTCTTAAATGTAGAAAATAAAATAGGGTGTCTTTCTACATCCATTCTTAAAAATTTGGCAGAAGTTACAAATAAGTTACAAAGAAGGAGTTCCTGCTGATATAAGTCACAAGGATTATTTAAAGGAAATTTATGTTACAGCTTGTAAAATCATGATATTGATAATTATTAATATGTAAAACTTTATGTGAAATAGGTATTACTAAAAATATTGAGCTACTATTTATAGTGAGATCATTATTTTTTAAGTAAATTTTTAGTAAATTTTAAGTAAATTTAACAGATAGAATAGCAAATCACATTTATTCATTCAACACATTCTTACCAACAACCTGCTATATGTCAGTCATTGCACTAGGCATGGCATAGTCATAAATAAGACTGATGTGATTCCATAGGTCTTGCAGGGAACATAGACATTAAGCAAGTAATTATAATAAAGTATAGTGGCTTATGATATTATAAAAACAAAACAGTCCTTTCTTAAAGATATCTTGAAATTGATCTGTAGTATATTAATTTTAATCCATTCATATTCCTCATGAAATGAGATTGTTCATTTTGATGTAAAAATTAGACTGACCTTCTTTACAGTTAGTAGAGACTGAAAAAGTCTTATTATTTGTATAGCTTATTTAAAATGAGAAACTGCTGTGGAAAGATCTGCAAGTTTCTGAGATACCAAGAAATGTGAATACGAGCAGAACAAGCACATAATGCCTGTCATGCATATTATATACATTATAAATGTCATTTAAGACAATTATATGGAGCAGTTTTACATTTAAAACTACTAAGTTGTAGTAGTTAAGAAGTTGGGCTCCAGAGTCATACTGGTTGGGTGTGAGTGTTAACTCTGACACTTACCAGCTTTTCAGTCTTAGGAAAGCTGCATAACTCTACTGTGCTTCAGTTTCCTTACCTGTAAAATGGGGATAATAAGAGTATATATCTTGTGAAAAAATATATTATTTGATATATAAAAATGCTAAAAGAGTAGCATATGGAAAGTGCATAGAAAGGGCTCCAAATGTTGTTTTAGTTAATAATAACAGTAATAATAATTTCTTCATCTTGAAAATATCCTACTTCATTCATAAAGTTTTGCCAACTGAAATAATTGCAGATGGTGCTTAAAATACATACAATATATATTTCAGAGTAGTATGTAAAGAGCTTTTATTATTACTGCTAAACAAAAAAAAAAGTCTGTGAAATTCTCATCTAAGCTTTGGGACCTCTGTAGCTGAATTTCAGCAGTCACTCAAAGGCTATCTAGAGATGCCATCTAGAGATACTTTATAACCTAGTGCCTTTTTTTTTTTTTTTTTTTTCAATACAAAAATGATCTTTTGGATCAATCAACACATCTGCAGTCAGGATGGGGCCCATAGGCCTCAATCGGTGACCACTGATCATTTTATTTTTTTTTTTTTTTTGCAATACAGAAATTTTTGTTTTCATTTTAAGATGCTGAATGAGAGAAAATTATTTCAATACAAGTATGGTTTCCCATGACCACAATTAGTTATAATGTAACCAGTCAACAGTTGTCTATTGAAACCACTAGCTATTAATATAGTGTCGTGGTAGCCTAAAAGAATTACGCTATCATTCTACTTAGGCCCTAGGGAGACAAGAGCCATGTAAAGAATACTTAAAGCACAAAATCCGAGACCTAGTTCCTGCTGTGCCACTAATAAACAGAGTTATCTTAGATATACAAACCTGTAAAAATTATGAGGCCATCTTAGCATCTCAGTACCCTTATTATGTATGTCGTGTGTATACACACATGGCCATCCAATATTCCTTTTCCAAATTCAAATGAAAGGAATTCATTAGGGTTGTTTTAATTTCCAAATTTACTGAGTAAAAGAATTCTGTTCTAAAAATTATTTTGTATAATGCCTTCAAATTGAGTTTTACATGTACTATTTCAAGGCTTCTCAGATAGTTCCACATAAATTATCTAGTGTTTCTGCATCATTCTATGATCTTTTCATTAATGTCAAGTGTAATGTTTTTTAACTTCACAAGGGAAACATGAAATTCCTTTAGTGTGCCTCATTTTCAGACATTTTCTTGTTGATTAAAATTCCTTTTTTAAATAAAGTTTCAACATTTACTAAATAATTTTTTTACCTTTGAATTAACTTTTTATAAATGAATAATGACAGCAGTCATTACAAACTCTGCTGTTGGCAACACTAGAGGGCATTTCTAGTTCTTGAAATAGTGTCATGAGTTCTCAGAATAATTTACCAATTCATTAAACAGCAGACTAGCATTTTAAGGGAAAGGAACTAAAACAAGCACGAAAGATATATTATACTTATATATACTATGTATATATTATGAATAGATAATATAAATATATAATATATACATTATATGATGTATGGATAATACATATATATTGGATGTATGTATACACACGTCTGCTTTACCAGATGTTCTCACTGAATCACTACTCCTCAAAAGGCGGGGGAGTATTTGTGATCTGCTCATTGAAGCACCACTGTATTATCCAGTTGTGTATTAGTGTCGTGGAGGTCTGTGCTCTGATAGGTTTAGCATCAAGTGAACATTGAGTAAAAAATGTGTATGTATATACTCATACATGCATACATACATACTCATCAGAAGTTAGTTGCTGTGATTATTGAACTACTAGATGCTAACATAGTCATAATTAGAATAATTTTTCAGATAAAATATGAGAGCTAAACTAGATGCCCTTTATAGGCTTAGTAGAAGATTTAAGAATACCTCTGTTTTGAATTACTGTATTTTAAATGTTAAAATATTTGCAAGGAGTTTGAATGCAAACATTTTTAGGAAAAGGATATAATTATATAATGTTAAATATATAATATTAAATATTAACATGCAATGATATGAAAGAAGACTGAAGTTTATAAGAAAATTCAATTAGCATAAAGAAAAACTTTTTTTTTTCCTGGGAGGATTTGCTTACTGTGGTGTATTGGGGAAAAAAATCTTACATATCATTAAGTAATCATTAACTCGGTAAAAGTAAAGTCAAGGACCAACGAAAATAACCTAATTGTTGTGAAAATAAGGTGACAAATAGACAATCCCATCTTACTCTGTAACATACTTTGTATAAGAGGGGATACATGATAACCACTAGAACAGTGGTGGATCTGCAGGTGGTAGGTACATAAGGGGTATAAGAAAGTCTTTCTAGTTCAAATGTATTTCTACCATGTACTTTACCCAGTAGAAATGCATTTACATTTTTAAGAGGAGCGTATAAATCCAAATATCTCTGTTGATACATATGCCTATCATTTACTTAAATACCTGAGTACCTACTAAGTATAAAATACCCTGATATTTTATGTTTAACACAGTGAGGCTGTAACAGTTTACACTCCTATTATGTAGCTGAGACCAGTTGGTCTCTTTTAGAGAAGGGAATATCAGTTAGTTACAGAAGGACTCATTTGAATCATGAGATAATTTGTGAGAATGCATACCCAAGTAATATGCTTTAATAAAATCAGAAGGCAGCATGCTTTTGTTGAGAAATGGAGGTAGGAAGGTATCAACATAAAATAACCTTCTTTGTATTGTTATGTATTGTAATGTACCCCATAAACTGTCATCTCTTTTGTTTGTTTGTTTTGAGGGTACAAATTATTTCGTTTTCTGATATTCTCTTTCCTAAAGTGTTGTTGGACTGAAACTTAGCAAATTCTTCCCCCCCCATATATATGTATATACACACACACACATATATATACACATATATATGTATTCTTTCTACAAACACACAGCAATAGTATGTGCAAGTCAAATTTAATTTTAAGATGAATCTTTTAAAGCATGGGTGAATCTGTGCCAGTCACACACAGGGCAGTCTGTCATATCTTTTGCATCCTTGCTTTGTATTGGTTGTGAATGTTCGTTATGTAGTAGGGTAGGTAATTCCATTTTTACTTGTACTAGAATATATCTGGCTTAATAGATGATGTTCCAAAGGCTTGAATTTAAAAAAAAAAAAAAACAACTTTAGTGTAAAAAATTTCAGACATACACTTAAGAGAGACTAGTGTAATAAACCCCATGGCCTAGAGTTAACAATCAGCAAAATTTTGCCACACTTGCTTCATCTACTGTCTTCTTCTTCCTTGACTA